TAATACGCAACAAATTGTAACTTTTCATTTAACAGATCAATCTTAAAAGTCATCATTATAGTAAAGAATGTGCTTATTTTCACTTATTGTTAAATATACCTACAAATCGACGATTATATTTCTTTTGTGAGATATACATCATTTTAAATTGAAATTTCGTACTCCAAATATATCTTTTTTTAATATATATTTATACTCAAAATCTTATTCAACTTAAAATCAAGTTACTATCCAAAAATATTATTCATAAAATTAAATAATATAAATCAATCATTCTTAGTTCTTACACATTACATCAATGTTAATAACTATTCATTCACAAACATAATTATAACTAGGGTTAATTGCTATTTAAACCTCTACCTTTTCGCGTTTGGCAATTTAATCCAAACTTTTGGATAATTGCAATGTAATCCTGCATTTGACTTACTTTTGCAAAACGAACTTAATCTCCGTCATAGATTCGAAAAATGCCAACGTGTCCAGCTGCTTATATCCACGTTGAATTTTCAGTTTGATGAGTGACGAACTTTTGTGACTGAAAACTTATGTGGCGATGACATGACTCATATGTGGAATTAATAAGTTAGGAAAAAAATTAAAAAATCCACCTCAATTAAAATTTTGAAAATGTACCCTAGATTAACATGGATATAAGCAACCGGACACGCTGACATTTTTTGAATATCCGACAGAAATTAAGTTCGTTTTGCCAAGTAAGTCAAAGTCAGGATTATATTGCAATTATCTAAAAGTTTAGATTAAATTGTCAAACGCAAAAAAATAAAGATTTAAATAGAGAATTTGCACCCCTTATCACCATGTATGATTTATATTACATTTATATCCTCTTTATATTTTTTTTTATAAAATTACCTAACAACTCAATAATATTTCAGTTTTACCTAATAACTGTTATTACCTTAATTCAAGCGAATTCAATGCACATAAGATCCTTAAGTTAAATTAAATATCTACTTACCTAAAAAATGGAATGTTCAATTCACTCCGTCACTTCAAACCACCCCACTCCCACGTTCATCTCTCGTCCTAAACAAATACGCAAAAACATTGGACAAAAAATAAAGCAGGTTCAACCCAATCATGGCACCTTGGGCTCAGTGCAGATCTAAAGACTTGTTCGAGCATTCGTATTGTTGAAGGGGAAAGGTGGTGAAAAAGGTGATTTGGTTTTCCCTTGCCGGAGGTAGATGGTTTATGCCTGGCGTGCAGTTGACGGCTCCGCTGCCGGCGTACAGGCTGGGGAGTAATCGGTGGAGCTCGGATGTTGATAGAAGGAGTAGCAATCTCTATTTTTTCATGAAAAAAAAGTCTAATTCGCGTGAGTGAGATCTCCTTTCATTTCGCTTGTTATGTGCGTAGAACTGCTTTTTTTCATCTTGTCATTTTCTTTTTTTTTTCGTAAATTTGTCATTTTCTGTTTGGTGTGCCTGTTTTTTCTTTTAATCTCATATGTGTTCATTAAATTCAGTAATATGTGTCACTGATTTCATTTTATTTTTTGTAAGTTCCAATGGTAATTTTTTTTTTTTTT